TTTTCTTCTTTTTCCGCTGGCTTTCAAACTTTTTTCTGGCTTATTATTGAACTGTCGACATTCGGCGGTTGTTTTTGGATACTCGGGTTTCTTTGACCACTGATTCGACTTGCTTCCGTAGCCGTGCTCTTGCCTCTGCTGTGGTCTTGACGCACCAAATTGGCTTCGGTACATACGTATGTAGTATGCCGAGCTGCTGAAACTACAATACGTTTTCAAATATCAAGAGGGCTAAACCTCTGGCCTTAAAGGCAAACAGCAACCGAGTAAAAAACTTGTAAGCCTGCAGTGGCAAGCGGCTCGCTTCCTAAATCTTCTTCTCTCATTCTCTTGGCAAAAAGCCACAACTTAAATACTTGGGCGTTAGCAAGACAATTTGCATAAACAAGTTAAAGCATTTAATTCTGGCTGGAAGTAGAAAATAAGAAGTGATAGTACAGTTTTAAAATAAAGTAAACATAAGTAAAACTTAGGATCCTTACAAGCTAACGAACAAAACTGACACAGCTGACCCATCTCCAAAACCAGTTTTTTCTCATAGGGCAGCAAGTTGAAAAATCTGAACTGCAGGTACAGCAGAGCTAGTCGACACATGAAACTGACTCCATTAGCTCAGATGTACCCCAGTGGGAACAACTCTTAAGAAAGTAAGAATCACAGATTAACTTTACCTCTTTAGAAGAAGTTTCCCCCAAATTAATTGAGGTCATTTGCTAGGCAATCATAAATCAATTACTGCTACAGGCAAGCCAATAAGTATCATCTATCAGCTGAAGTATCTTAAGGCAGGTATTTCACTCAAAACTTAGGCCCAATGTCATCCACCGTACCACTTGGCTCAGTTTAATATCAGTATACTATCAATGCATAATACCTCCCACTTCTCATTTTATTGCAATTCATATTTTCATGTGAAGTGTCTGGATGTTATTCCAGTTGCATGATCTTTAAGTCGGAACTCGGAAAGAAAAAGCCTTATAATTTCTTCTCTTTTTTTGTATCTCTTCCGTCTTAAAATGCATCAAGAAAACATTTTCAGTTAATGTTCTATCATGCCAGTACACTGGATTCTGCTAGAATATCAGTTATTGAGGGATGCAATGAGAAAGAAACTGATGAAATGCTTATACAGTAATGCTTCTTGGAAGAAGCGAGATCCATTCAAAACATTTCTAAAAATGCATATGCCATCTTAGTATTTAAAATCAACGCTAAGGTTATATTATGAACAGTTTTAAATGTGGAGTATTTGTAAATTGCTGCCCCCCCCCCCCGAAAAAAAAAAGGTAAGAGTACCCATTGAAACCAGTATTTGCCATGGAACCTAGGGTCAGCACCGGATCGAATAGGTGCGGGGCCCGATTGTATTTTTTTTGCGGAGCCCTCTCTATATATTAAATATTTAAATGAAATTCAAATTCAGTATATATATAAATATATCAAATGTCATGGATCATCAGACAGGTAAACTTCTACATATATTAAAAAATAAAAATGTTCAAAATACAAAAACATTTATTGAATATAAATTTACATCACCGAATATGAATACTTGAATTTACATATTTCTTAAGTTTTTGTTCTGTAAATTCTTCTAAAATTGTTTGAAAATCTAATTTTCTTGTGTCTTCACTTTCAATCGACATAATTGCTAAACTATTTAATCTATCCTGATTCATTGTCATTCTCAGATAGTTTTTTTATTAATTTTAGCCTGGAAAATGATCTTTCTCTAGAAGCAATGCTTACTGCAATTGTTAAGAATTTTCGGAGAGCAATAAACAAGTTTGGAAATGCTGTTGCTCTGTCATTATCTGATAAAAATTTGAACAATTTAAACGGATTTTCCAAAAATTCTGAAGGAAAAATAGATTTCAAAGCTTCCATTTCTTCAACTAACATTTTTCCGTCTATATCTGCTTCTTTCACCTTTGGTACATCATTTTCTGTTAACTTAGAATCTGTTAGAGAAATTTCTAATTCAGCTGCATGTTTTTCAAGTATTTCTTTTTCCATATTTTGAAATATTTCCAGAAACCCAAATAATTCATTATGATTTTTTAATTGTTCAAAACAATCTTTTAATGATTCTGTAGCTTTATCTAAAACAACATTAAAAAAAGATATCTTGTATGCATCTATCGGGTCTTCAATATGTTCATCATCGCCTTCATAATTGAAATGTTTCTTTCTTTTCCGAATCCTTTTATTTCGAAATTCTGTTGATACTTCCAAATCTTTTCTTCCAAATCAAAGAGTTTTTGCCTGAACTAAAACTTGTTCAAATCCAACATTTCTGTAGTTGTTTAACCATTTTTAATGTTTTTCAAATGAAGAAAGTGCAATGGATACGTCTACAGATTCACTTTGAAGTTCCTTGCTAATATAATTGACTTTGAACAGTAAATCAATCGTACCAAAAACCAGTGATACTAAAAATTTATAGTCTTTTCATTGCATTTCCCACATTCATTGCATTCACGTATGTAGTGCAAAATCTCTCTAATATAGGACTATCCCGATTAAATTCAATACATTTGACATGAACTTTTACGGGTATCAGTTTTCTATATTATAAAGTACATATTATATAATAATAAACACATTAATAAATCTCCTCCAGCAATCTAGAACTTAAAATAAATATATTTTTAATTATTTGAATAATTCATAATTTATCCATTATCGTCAAAAACAATTTGCTTTAAATCTTGAAATTTTTTTTGTGTTCATTTTAATGGTAACGTGCGGCCCTATCAAATGCGGGGCCTGATTGGACCCAATCGCTTCAATCGCCCTTTATTCGGCCCTGCCCAGGGTCGCATTCTGCTCAGTGGGTCAGTAAAGAACAACTTGGAACCATGTCTAAGAAACCCAAGTCATCACTTCTGGCTTCATTTCCAATTTGCCAGATGAGTGACACATCTTCAAAACATCACTATCAAGTATTTACCATATGCAGATTTTCAGTGAAATTAAAACATTGACAGTTGCAGGTGATTGGTTCAACAAGGTTTAGTAGGAAGCCAGAGCATGCAAATACTGTTCTTTAAAAGCTTCACACCCTGAATGTTACAGATTATTGCCATGAAAACATTGAAATAAATTTGTGAAAACCATAGTGGATTATATGTATAAAGAATAGACAGATATACAGCTAATGTATTGTCAAGCAAATGGGTGTAGACATGAAATACAGTGATCATACAATGAGCGATTTCTGCTGTGTCATATTGCCATTCCGTTTTCATACATGTTGATAGAAGACTTTCTAAGACTGGTTCATTTGTTATCTTCAAGAGATATAGGACATCAGCCAAATGTGCAGATGCCAAAAATGGAAGAGTGTCTTCAAGAGGTCTACTGTAGCTTCTTCTACAAGTACACCAGTGGTGGCATCTGGTACTGGTGTTAGTACCAATATAATATGGAATGTTGTACATGAGGCATGCATGCACCCTTTCCAGATTCTGAATGTCAAGTCTTTATACATCATCAGTTATGCTTGGCAACTAGAGTTTAGGGAGGTGGATGCTGCGGGTGGCAACCACCAGTCTGTAGTTTTCTGCCTGAGTGATAATGCCTTGTTTATGAGAGATAGGGCATTTTTGCAGTGAACGTGTCTGTGCTGAAAACAATCCGTATGTCACTGCCCATCATAAATACCAGCAGAGATTTGTTGTGAACATCTGGGCAGGTAACTTTGGTGACTGCCTAATGATTCCTTGCTTGTTTTCAGAATGTTTGTCGTGTATATAACCAAATTCAGTATACCGTGTTTTCCTGGACCAAGTGCTTCCTAGTTTGTTGGAAGCTGTTTCACTCATGTGAACATGTGGTTTATGCATAATGGAACCCTAGCATACTTTACCATCTTCATCCAACACTTCCCGAGTGCCACATATCCCAGAAAGTTGATTAGGCACTGTTAACCAGTGGCTTGGCCTTCATTCTTATCAGACCTAAATTCCCTGCACTTCTTCTGGCTAGAGGCACATGAAATCATTTGTATATAAAACACCTGTGAGATGGTGGGAAATCTTGTCCTGAGAATTGTTATTGCACACCTGAAACTAAGCACAAAATCAGAAATCTGTGAGTGGCTGCACCAGTTATTGATCAGTCAGTGTGAACCATGCAGTGGCAACCCTTGGATGCCATTTTAAGCATCTACTTTATAAGAGGCTTTCTCTGCTATGAATGGGATTGTCCAACTCATGATTTCATTAACTAACTTTTTTTTCTGTTAAAAGTTTTCACTGTTGAATTTGAACATTTGTCTCTGTGATTTTCTGATTGTCTAATTGGAATACAGCACTGGGTTCATTGCCAATATTGTTCATCTTGATAGGGTATTATCATAACTTTTATTTTTCAAAAACAGTTTATCATCACCCTGCATATCTTTGTGAAAATGGTATGCAAGCAAACATTGCTATTTTTTTCCTTTGATTTGGAACTAAAGTGATACTATGCATATAAATGCAGAATATATCAAAATCGCCAATTTTCATTTAACAAGTCTAGGCATTGGTAACTATATCATAAATTTTATTTTAAAAATTAATTGCATCACTTTGTATTCCATGTTGTACAGCAAATGACCAGTATGAGTCTTTTTAATTAATTGTCCAGATTTAATTGATTAAGAAAATGTATAACATTAACATTTATCTCCTTTAGCATTCTTTTCTATAGCATTATCACTGGAGTGCTTTGTACTGATAAAGTTTTCATAGTTTTATTATTTTTTTTATTATTATTATTTACAAATGTGAATTATCGTATGGATCAGAAAGAAATTATTATTTTTTAAAGAGGGAGGAAAAAAAGAACTATAAATATGAGTTTTTCAAATGTAATGTAAGCTACATATTAATTTTTTTTCTTTCTATTGTTTTCTGAAATACTATTCATTCATACATTTCTCATTATGCTTTTTCATTTTCCAAAAATACGCCAACAAATTATATTGTAAAACTTCCTGTTTTTACTTTTAGGTTATGCTTTCCTTCTTTTTCAAGATGAATCATCTGTTCAAGCTTTAATTGATGCGTGCATTCAAGAAGATGAAAAACTGTATTTATGTGTTTCTAGCCCAACAATTAAAGATAAACCGGTTAGTTTTATGTGCATAATGTTTTAGTTTCTTTTGGGGGACTGTAATTTACTATCGTGTTGTAAAAAATACTACAGTATCTGCAGGTAATATGTTCCAAAATAATTGATATTTCAAGATATCAGACTATAAAACAGGATATTTGGGCAGATTACCTAAATACAATCAAGTTTAATTTGTAATGTATGCACTGGTTTAAGATATTACCAATGTTTTAATAAAATATACATGAACTATCTGCACTGCATAGCATAATACTGAATAAAGTAATGCTGAATATATTTCATACTATTGTATGCATTCTTGTTGCATAATAAAAGCCTCAATTTACAAACAGTTTCATCTGCAAACAATTTATCTGAGCAAAAAAAAAAAAAAAAAAAAAAAAACACTTTGGTTGACAAATGGTATCTCGAATTATGAACACTTAAGTCTATAACATATGACTTTCATAAATATATAGAGATAATCTTTGCCAACAATTTACTTAGGGACTTCTAGAAACATCATTTCAATTTTGTCCATCGCTTAACTCTTATTAACAAAGTCTGGCAACAAGTGATTTATAGGACTGTAAACCTAGAGGAAATTGTGGCTAGATTGGGTTCCCAGTGGAGATTTTGTACACTTTAGATTTTTACTTTATTTTACATTAATTTCTGTGTGGGAAAACAAAAATTCCGTTTGATGAATGTCTTTCAGGAATGAATTAAATTTGTAAACCAAGTTTTTACTGTAATATGATTATAGCAGCATTAACAAGAACAGAGAAAATGCTAGAAGCAGAATGAATGCAAATTTTAATCAAGTACTATGGATATGGAAAGAAAGAATCATCAAATACTTCTAACCACTAGTGATCATGAACACCTCCCAGTATATTTATAGCATCAAACCAAATCTGAGAGAACTAAAATGCCCTCTTCAGTAGGTGGCTTGTAAGCTGAGCATGTATATTTGATTTGCAGTTACCAGTGTATCTCCCATGTTTGGTTTCATATGTTTGAAAAAAGGCTACAGGTGCTTGTAGTCGTGATTTTCTCTAAGTTGATGATAGAACTGAACATGCATGAACAGCCATATTTTAATGCTTCACACCGTTATGGCCATTTGTTAGAGGAGAGATGGTTTTGGGCCTGCTACATATCATTGATGTCAAATGAATGGATAAGGGGATTAATATGGCTCTTTACTTAATGCCAAAAAAAAAATTACACTATTTTAAAAACTTAAAGTTATATGGTATCCTTGTTTCTTAAATGCATTAGTCATCACTATTATAGTGTTTTATTCTCTTTCATTCTATATACATATTTATGTTACTTTTTTTTAACTATGAAAATCTAAAGCAATTTAATGATAGTCCCTTATGCTTTATGGGTTTTGAGATTTAGGACATTATATAGGGTGATTCATAAAGAAGTATACACTTTCTAGGTGCTGTAAAGCAGTAACATTCAACGTCTTGCACCACTTGAGCAAAACCCATTAGTTAGATGTGCTCTTAAGGGTCATTACCAGTGGGGTTTAGAGCTAATGGACAGAACTGACATAGCCGACCCATCTCCAAAACCAGTTTTTTCCCATAGGGCAGCAAGTTAAAAAATCGGAACTGCAGGCATAGCATAGCTGGTTGACGCCATTAGCTCAGATAAACCCCAGTAGGGAACAGCCCTTTAAAGTTTGTCTTGCCCCTGACAGAAGTGATGTAGATAAAAGCATGCATGTCATGTGACTAGTCAGTCAAAATGGCAGTGTCTGCAGGGAAGAAGGCTTTTTTGTGTTCTTCAATTTAACTAAACAGAATCCACAGCTGCTGTGCAACGGCATTTTTGATCGCGATTCAGAAAAGAACCTCCAACAATAAAAATCTGTCTATCAATGGCATGAAAAAATTTTAAATTATGGGCTGTTTGTGCCACAGTCACTATTGATGGACTTGATTCAGATATCTTAACACGCATTTGAGTGGAAATGAATTAACGGCTTGATGTGTATTTGTGTGATTAAGAGTTCACACATAGAACATCTGTGACTATCTCTAACAAAACTTAAAATAATTTTGTACAATTCTGTTAAAGGTAATATAATATCTTACATTCTTCTTGATTTATAGTGCATTGAAACTGTATACTTCTTTATGAATCACCCTATAGGCCTCAACTCATGGTATTGTGTATCTTTCTAAAAATGTTATAGATGTTAAATTTTGTGAAAAATAAATTCTGATGGAACTACTGCTAAAAAAGCTGCTTTTACAAATATTAATTTATATAATAGGCAATTTTATTGGAAAAACCTGAAAACTTTTCTTTTTAATATGCTTTATGTACTGTGTTCTAGTCACTGCAAAACAAAAGCATTTACCTCAAACAAAATGCAGCTGCACCTTTAGAAACTTGCATTATATTTTTTTGGCAAGTTTCATACTTTTGATGCAAATATAAGACTATCAGCTGCCCTGTTTGTATAGTGATTAAAAAAGTCAGTTGGAATAACCCGGAGTATGGGTTTGAATCTCAGAATGCATGATGTTTGCATGTGTATAGTGTCTTTGCAATATGAGAGCACTTAAAATACTGTCAAAATGAAAGTGCTCTTAAGAGGTTGTCTTAGGGTGAGTGGGATGGAGACCCTTTGATTCGCGCTTCCAGTCAGGTGGATTTGGATGGAGCTGGGCAAAATGGCACTGTCACACATATAAAGTGTCCAAGATATGAGCCAACTAAATAGGCCCTTGTGTCTAGGCCACTGTAAAAAATGTGTGGTCTTCTAATGTTATTAGACAAGCAAAACAAGTCACCTCACAATAATATGAAAATTATTATTTTTATTAATGTTATAAGGTATTTCTCCTGCCTTCTTAGCATGGTGTAGTAGTCTGCACACTGGGTGCATATTCCAGAGGTCTGTGGTTTGATTCCCGGTGAAGGCGTTGCTCATTTTTCACGTCTTGTGCTTCCAAAAAATACCTAATGTCTCTACAGTGGCGCCCGAACTAAATGGGTGGTGGATGATGATTCTCTACACCCAGGATTTGGCGATTAGGTACCCTAAAACCCCTGTCACCCTTTAAAAAAGAGGGAGTGTATAAGGTACTTCTCCCGCCTTCTTAGCGTGGCTTCATGGTGTAGTGGTCTGCACACTGGGCACATATTCCAGAGGTGGTTCGATTCTCGGCGAAGGCGTTGCTCATTTTTCACATCTCCTACTTCCAAAAAATACCTAATATCTACAATGTCAGTATATTTCATTTTATTATTAGATTGCTTAGAATCATAAATTTTGACATTTATGTATCCTTGATGCTTAATATATTTCTGTATGGAATTTTTGACAGTGAATATAAAAATGACAATGAAATTGGAACCTTTGTTATAGTTCTCAATTTTCAAATGTCTCTTTAACCCGTGTGATATTATTTTTATAATTTTTTTAATTATAATCTCTAGAAATTGAATATTATGATCCTAGAGACAAATAATATATGAGTGAAAAAAATCTACTCATTGTAAAATGCCCATTGTTCTGTGGGTGGTGGTCGCACTGTGAAACCACCGCATGTCTAGGACTTTGAAACTTACCTAGTTAGTAGAGGAAAAAACTTACCTTTCTCTGTGCACATTTCCAATAAATGATGAAATTTACGAATTTTAAAAAATGTATGTAGGAATTGCATAATATATATTTTTTTTACATTATTTTACAAAGTAAATAGAAAAAAAATTAAAAAATAAACATTTATGTAATTTTTCTATAGCAGTGAAAATATAAGTACCTACATAATAAAGACGTTTGGCTAAATTGATTAAAAAACTCAGTAAAATAAGGATTAAAAAAAAAGACTCAGTTTTTTTTTTTTTTTTTTTTTTTTTCCCCAAAGAACAAATATTCTTTGTGACACTGTACAAAGCATGTTTTGTCTTTTTCGTACATGCATAGACCCACATTGCACATTTCGCACATGTGTCTTCTTCTATGATGTTTCTTTCTTGTGCTACAAAATGTACACTGCCTGGATCTCAATTTCACTGGTATATAAATTTCACTGGTATATGTTTCACTGGATATCAATTTCACTGGTATATGTCCAGCGTTATTTAGTTTCTTTTATCTGGCATATGAAATTTGGGGTGTTTTTTTATGTTAATTGGGGGGGGGGCTTGGTCTCTTTGGCTTTGGTATGAATCATTCGTTTCCCATTCATACTTATTTTATTCGTACTCTCGTTTCCCAAAATATTCACAAAATAGTTTTAATTTAAATAAAACTTTATGCAACGATTCTATTAATTCTATTAATTATAGCAAAGTATATTTACGTTAAGTTTAAACCACAGGAAATAATTTATAAAATCACAATACTAGCTTGGGGAGCAAGTGTGTTGATGTCAGAGAAAAGTCTCTGGAAAAGAAAGACCTTTTTACTGAGCAGGTGCATGTATTGTTTAGTAATAAAATAACTCTGTGGTTTCAAAACCCCTTATCTATATCCGGGTAGAAAAACATTCCTATTTGAGAAGCAAGCAAATGCCATTGTGAAGAGCAGTGGTTTCAAGGCGCGACCACCGTGCCTCTAGAGCATTGTGACACAATGCTCAGTGGTACAGTGGTCGCGCCCTGAAACCACAAGGCAAATGCCATACATATAGAGGGTTTTTTATATATATGCACTTTAATTATTGCTATTTTTATTGTTTATGATAGCAATCATGATGTGTGAGGAATAACTTCTAAAATTTAAAGTTGTTTATATTGATAAAAGGAAGTTATTTTGTCTCATTGAAAATGAATTTTAAAAGGCATCCGATTTGAAGTACTAAGACCTAAAACATGTATGATTCTGCAGTCATTTTGTGTTATTTAGAGATAAAAGATCAGTAATAAATTGATTTTCACTCAAAAAATTTGGAAGGAAGAGGAGAAAACAATTCGAAAATTGGTGGTTTCAGGGCATGACCACCGCATGTCAAAGGTTTAATTTGGATACCTAATTAATACAGCAAGCATATGACATACCATCTAGTTGACATTCTCTGTATATGTATAGGCAATAAATAAGAAATTAAAATGCATGAAAAAAGCTTATGATAAAATTATTCTTTGTAGCTGTGATAAACTTCTCATATTCCCTGAAACACAATATGAATCACTGACATAGATGGATCTTTAAACCTTGAATTAATCAGCAGTTTTAAGTGTCATATTTGTGTTCAGCACACCAAATGAACAGCTTTCCTTTAATAATTTACTAATAAACCCTTAATTAGTATTATTAATCCCTTAATCAGTATAATTAATGAACAGTTTTCCCTTAATCAGTGTTATTAACTATTCATTGATAATATCTTCGAGCTTTTGATTTTCTCTTGCCTTTATTTTAAAAATTTATAGGTACAGATTCGTCCATGGCGCCTAAGTGATGCTGATTTTGTATTAGATGCATCCATGCCTCTTGATCCTAGGAAAACTGTATTTGTTGGTGGAGTTCCTCGACCTCTGAAAGCTGGTTAGTATTTGTTTTCCATCCATTAAAAGATAGAAGTTACATATTTTATAAGATTTTTAAAATAAGGCAAAATACCCTAGAATAAGATCCTTATGCTTTCAAAATGAACAAAAAGAAATATGAAATTTCCCCATGAGCAAAAATTACAGAAATCAGTTGCAAAGTTTGTTTTGGTATTCTGTTTTTACACAGTGTTGGCCAGAAGTATTGCAAGATAAGAAATTGGTATGTTTTAAAATTTTCTCTTTTTTAATGATTTAAATGATGTAGACTTACACTGACTGAAAATCAAAATGAAGTATAATATTTACTATCCTTTATAAAATAAGTCATGTTGATGTGTGTGAGTTGTTGCGGCTCGCGAAACAAAATAAAGCAAAGTACTTGCAGATGTATCCAAAATTCTTTGTATGAGATTAAGATTGAAATTATTTCATTTGTGCCAATATGCCAGTGGTGAACAATTACTAAGAAGTGATCAAAGTAACAGTGATAGCAACCACAAAATAGAAGACAGGGAAATGTGGAAATAAGCATAAGTACAGGGCACAGTAAGACATGTTGTGAGTATACAAATTTTGGATTGCTGAAATTGTTCATCACAGTATAGCACTGATAAGATATATAAAAGATTTCACATTTATTAAGCATTGTTGTTCAAAAGCAAAATTTAATGGGAAAGAATCAATTGACGTACTTACAATTTCTGGTTTGCCTTCCAGGCATCACTTAGATGATTTTATGCATGGCTGTATTATTGGCAAGATTGAAGAAGAGTGAAAAATAACAGATGTTGCCTAGGGAGTTCATCAGCCTGAGTGTTGTTTCAAGTCTTTGGAAATCATTGCAAACAAATTGAATGTGTATGAAACATCAGGGGGTGTTCACAGTACAATGCCTGTAGAAGATAGGTATTACATAGTGCTATTGACAAAAAAGAACCCACGCGGCACAGCTACTGAGGAAGTAAATCAGTTACTTGCTGTAACTGGCAAGCAAATCTAAAAAAAAAAAAAAAAATTGTAGTCAGGTGTTTGCATCAAGGAGGGCTAGTGCCTGCCATCCTAATATGTGCATTCCATTGTCTATTCCGCCCATTTGTAATGTTGTCATCAGCATGACAATTTGAGGGAAGACAACTGGGCTTGTGTAGTAACCATGGATGAAAGGAGGTTCAGTCTGTTATCGGATAGTATTGTAGATCCCAGTTGATCTGTCATGAGAGTTGTACTGTATATAGTCCAGCAAACATACAGGAAAGGGACAGGTATCCTACATGTAGTGTCATGGTATGGGCTGGGATCGTGATCAACAGCTATACGTCGCTCTGTGTGCTTACAGCTGGGACTACGAGTGGCCAATGATGTTCTGCTGCCCCATGTTTGCATGTTCCGGGATGCTGTTGGCGATAAATTTGTTTTCATGGACTAGAATATAACATGTCATCGAACAGTCGCTGTCCAGGAGTGTCTAGACAGCCAGGATATTCAACATCTGGTATGACCAGCAAGTTCTCCAAACCTGAATCCCACTGAAAATGTTTGGGATTCTCTGTAGAGGAGTCTTACAGTGACCTTTTCTAAACAAGGATACCCTCATCCCTGCACAGACAAAGGAATGAGATAAATTACCCCAACAATTGCAATAATGTGCAAAGTGTCACACAAATTGTGGAATCTTGCATCACCTTCCATAGTAACTGTATCCCATAATGGCGTCTTACGCCAAAATACCTGTGGACGGTAATTGCATTTTTTTAACTTTCATGTTTTCAGCACGAAGTGACCATTTCGTCCTATTTTTCTATACATAGAGATATGTATAGAAATTCTATAGACAAAGGTGATATTTTGTAAGGATTTTGTAAAAATTTGTTAGAAGTTTCTAAAGATTTAATGTATAGAATCTTCCATATATATCTTATATATATAATGTGTATAAAATCAACTAATGAAATTGTACTGAAAATATCAGATCTAATTTATAGAAAATTGGCCTACAATTCTAAATAAGTTTTGTAGCTTTCAATTTCCATAAAAGCTGTTGAATATTCAAAAGCATTTTAAAATCAATAAAATTTTCTTTTGTGATTATAGATATATATCTACATATGGAATGATGGGACACATTTGTAAGAAAATATTTATTTATATCATTATCTGTCATACATCAAAATCATTACAGTATACAAGCAATATTTTAAAGGGCATTTCTGTTTATTCATTAACAGAAAGCTTTCACTGAGGTATATTTTTCAAACTGCTTTTATCATTTATCTACAAAAGTATACCATCATAGAAGTTTGAAAACATACATGTAGTGTGTTAAAACTATATGTAATGAATTAATAAATCTAGACTTAATAAAATCTAGAATAAATAAATTAATAGAATAAATTAAAATATCTTGAATTAATAAATTTGCACTGTAATCTATCATAACAAAAACGTTCTCTCCACTAGTACTTTACTAATTCTTAAAAGAATGTTTAACTAACATATATCCATTAGTCCATCACCTACCTACAGAACTGAAAATTTTAACAAACTGAAGTATTAAAAAGCATTGAGCAATCTGTTGAGCCTCTTTCTGTAATCCACAGAAATTTCTTTTTAATATCCTATTAAATTTTTCAAGGATAAAATGGATCAGCATATCCCAATTTCTACCACATAATGGGATGTACAATAACATATGAACATGGGTACATTTTTTGGTCAATGTAATTTATTTGTATCAGTGACAGATATTATAAGCAAGAATTATTCTAAATTTCTTTCCTGATCTGTTAGGGAATTGCCTAAAAATAATGCATGCTCCCAACTAAAATTAGCCAATAGTTACAAAATTTAGCAGGAAGGCTGTCTAATAATATGACTGGAGAATAAAATGATAACCAGCATAAAAATTCGGTTGCTTTCCAGTATTGAATAGAGTCGAATTAGCGAGGCTTATGACCAATTTTGGATGGAGTTTTAATTGATATCATTTTCTCGTCTATACAGCATTTCTGATCGTTATTTATGCAAATGGTTCATTTCATGTGGAAGTAAGCCATAACACTGTAAAGAATCGAACAGTGCCGAAACAAACACAGTACATGTAATCAATAGTAAAACGTGATATACTATGAAATTTAATTAAAGGAGATAAGATACTTTGGCCTTTAAACACCTAAAACTCGAATGTACCATGTTATTGCAAGATCAGCTGAGTGGTAAACACTTTCTAAATGTCACAATGAAGTTAAATGTTTAATTTCATCTTAAGCATGTGATATCATTTGTTCTGAGCCCTTTTTTTTACTCTTATCACCTTTGTGCTCACACCATGTACACCCATAAAAGCCATTAAATTGTACAATATTCTGTAATTTGCACCTCACAACTGAATCACAATTGCACAAAACTTCATAAACTATTGAATTTACTTCATTACCTCTAAAACTGTAGGGTATACCTTAATTTCAAATTCTATTAATTTCTTCAAAAAGATAATTATCAATTGGAAATAGAGATCCTAACCATATTCCATCCAAGATAATATACTGCTCAAAACAAATAGGGGATATTGTGAGTTTGATATAAAATAACCATATAATTGACAACTATTTTAACAAAAAGGAAATAAGAAGAGGTTAAAAGGAAATTTATACTGTTTATAAAATTGGGAATATGTAAATTTTGTCTGTGATGTCAAAAACTATGGATTTTAGATATGGAGTGAAAAGCAACCTGTAGCATTCTTTCTGTAGGAGGAGATTAAAAGAATTAACATGGGTTAAATGTTTTGTAACAGTGAATACAATGTCTCAGCAAAATGACTTAGCTCAATCAGTAATAATATTTCAGTTTTGATGTCTGTGTTGAAAAGTACAACCCTAGGAAAAGCCTATGCAATGTTTCCATTCCCAGGGCTTTGGACACACCCAGCACCTGTGTAACAATCCAGAGCGATGCATCAAATGCAGTGGACCTCATTGAAGCAACGTGTATGCAAAGAAACCTCACGAAAAGCCTCTCTGCATTTTCTGTAATGAGGAGCATGTAAGCAGCTGCTGTGGCTCACAAATTTTCTTGAACTCTCTAAAATGAATGCTCAACCAACCCAGATGCCAAGCAAAACTTACTACAGTGACAAAGTTAAAAACAAGCCAAATTCTACACCTAGCATTACGGACGGAATTTTTTCATGGTTTTACAGCCCCAAAGTTAAAGAACTTTTTAAAATCATTTCAGAAATCTTTAGGTATCTCCAGAATGCCAACCTAGCAGAAGAGTTACGCATTGGATTACAAACTATACAGAAGTTGATGGAGTTTGCTGGAAGTGAATAACTCGTGTTTTTAATGAACTTTGAATTTTCAGCCTAAATTACATTCTTTGCTCACCAGTTCGACAGCTCCTGGCCTGCAGTTATTATGTACTTTTTCACATATTCTTATTTGTATTCTAAATTCAAAATCATTTTACTTAATTTTTAAAGATCTTAACATTAATTTTAATTACTTTTTAACTACATTTGTTCGAATTTTTACTCTCGTTTTTTTCCATGCCATAATTTGCAACTTTAACAATTGTTCTACAAGGGGTATTGTTTTTAGCACGGGCACCCTGGTGTACAAATGCCATTCCACTGGAGGCTGAATCAGTAGCGTGGAAGGCAGTTGGTCATTTAGAAGAGGGTCAAATGCAATCCTTGTAGCGGAAGCATGAGAAATTTCTCAAAGTGTCATTTCCAGATTATGAAATCGGTTTTGGGAAACTGAAATGTTTGCCAAAGATCAGAACATGCTCACATGCCTGCAAGAGCACAAAATGGGGACCGGTATGTAACACTAATGGCCAAACAAAATTGCATTACAAATTCCTCTTTCTCGCAGCTGTATCTTCAGGGAGCTAGTGGTACCAGAACTTTGACTAAAACTGTTCACCTGCACCATGTGGATTTGTATGCTTGCAGACCTGTGGTTTGTATTTTGTTGAGATAAAACCACAGTGCTGCTGGCAGAAGGTGGGCACAGGAGCATCTCATATGAGGATGTGATGAGTGGAACAACCTGTTCTTTGCGAAAGAGTCACTTTAGTGCACAACCTCACAATAGACAGATTCTCATCTGGAGAGAGCCTGGTACATGGAATACTCCTGCATTTGTGCATGAAGCTGTCCAATTTGGTGCAGGCAGAGTGATGGTGTAGCCCAGTATTTCTATCACTAGCCGTACCAACATGCACATTGTTTGGGATGCAGCACTAATGGCTCAGTGATATAAGGATGATATCCTCAGACCTATTGCACTTCTTTAGCTGCAGCAGTCAGGGATCAATTCACTTTCATGAAAGATAATTTCAGGCCACATCGTGCTCAGCTGGTGAACCATTTTCTTTTTGACAAAGAAATTCTTTGAACACATTGGCGGGCAGGTTCCCCAGATCTGGACCCAGTAGACCATGTTTGGATCATTCTGGGGAGAAGGGTTAGCCGCTTATCTCCCCCAGAAACAATTCAGCAGTTGGAAAGCTCTCTTCTGTAGGAGTGGAAGAGAATACCCCAGTCCCTCACTGATGCTGTGCCTTGTAGAAAAGCAACATTGCTTTCAGTCAGGGGAAACCATACCTCTTATCAAAAGTCATTTGTATCCGAGAAATCACATTTTTTGTTTTTTTCATATGATATGCACAAATTGTGCATTTTTGTAATGACAAATATCATCAATAAAATTTAATTATTCGTTATTCATTTCTTTTTCTTTTCGCATATTTTGCAACACCAAAATATCCCGCACCCACATCTTAATTTCTTCTTAAGAATCGCTGAAAATAAGATGGAAACTTTCCATGATTTGTTGCTAATTATACTAGGAAGAAATTTGTTTTTATTCTTTTTAGGAATACTTGTGGGAAATATCGTGAGTTAATCTTTCTCCAGAATATTTCCTTACCCAAAGGTATTTTCTCACCACATCTTTCATGAGCACTTTTTTCTGAACAGTTTTTCCCAAAATTGGAATTAATGTCAAGCGACTCTGACAATATATTATAACAACTAGTACATGGAAAAAACATTTTATCAAATTTTCCAAATGCTCGAAAATTTTGAAAAAACAAGATAGCTGGTTTGGGGAAAAATTAAGAATCAGGAATAGAGTCTGTCTATTTATATTTTGAACTTTCGTTTAATGAAGAACACTGCCGGGCAGATAATTTTAAATTCTGTGCCGAGATTGCCTAGACAATTAATTAAGCATCCACTCAGCATATGCAGCCATAAGGCTGAGAGCATAAACTCTAATTAACCAACACTGATTAACGAAGTTTCTAGAATAAATCTTTTGCTGAAATTTTTGTTGCAAATCCTGGTAAAAGGTTTTGCTTCAATAATTGAAAGTAACATTGCCATATAAAGGGAGATTCTAAATTGCATTTATAAATTAAGAGATGTGATAGTACTCACCCAGATGAGCAATAATTACCATAGAACATAGGGTCACATTCCACTCTTAGAGGCAGAAAAGAGGAATATTGGAATTCCAACCAGAACTTACAACAGTGTTGGCAGAGTGAATGAACGAGACTAAAAGTTGCACAATCAGTTTAGTGAAAAATTCACAGAGTCCATAAAATGGATAAAACCGGTAAATTGGTGTTCGAATGTTAATTCGAGCTCAGACATTGATGACGAACACTCAAATGCACTTGTAAGGCTGAGACCTTGCGAACGAGTGCAAAAAGTTAATTATCTAAATTATTAGGGAGAAAACTGCTACCTTGATATCAAGTATCAAAGTAGCAGTCCCCCCCCCCTTCGCCATCTTCTATCCTGTCCTTCCTGGACTTACTGTGCTGTGCTCATTCTATTTGAAGCATCCTTCTATGGGACACGAAGTTCTTACAGCCGGAACACAGCATGAACTTTTTGTGCTAATCTCGACATACAGCGGAAGTTAAAGCTAGTTGATAATATTCAGCCCTTGATTAGATAATTAACTTGTTGCAATCGTTTGCGAGGTTGAGACCTTGCCAACCAAACATATGCATTTGAGTGTTTGCCATTAAAGTCTGAGCTAGAGTTAACACTCGAATGCCAAGTTTTCTGTTTGATCCGTTTTGTGCACTCTGAGTTTTTCACTAAGCTTATTGTGCAGCTTTTGGTCTCTTTCATTTGCAACACTGTTGTATGTTTAGGTTGGCATTCTAATATTCCTCTTTTCTGATTCTCAGAGTGGAATGCAACCCTATGTTCTGTGGTAATTATTGCTCATCTGGATGAGTACTATCATCCTTCTTAGTTTGTAAAAACAATTTAGAATCACCCTCTATAATGTTTAGCATCTGCTAGATGTGCTGGTGTTCCACACCCGCATCTTAATTTCTTCTTAAGAATCGCTGAAAATAAGATGGAAACTTCACATGATTTGTTGCTAATTGTACTAGGAAGAAGTTTGTTTTTATTCTTTTTAGGGATACTTGTGGGAATATCGTGAGTTAATCTTTCTGTTTCTGGTCGCCCCATCTTCTTTGCCAAATTATTAAAAATTGTTTAGAAATTTTATTCTTGATTGTAAGTTTTGAAATAGATCAATATTAATCATATCTTTCAATGTGGCATCCTTAGCTTCTGTATCAGCAGCTTCATTCCCTATTATACCTGTATGTCCCTGTATCCACTTTAGGCTAATTGGACGAATATTTATTTCCATATTTATTGTTTCTTGAAGTGTTTGGATAAGTAAAGATGTTTTCTTCATGAAACATAAAGCCTTTAAAACGGTTTTGCTATCTGTATAAATGCTCGTATATTGTGACATTATTTTGAGAAAAGCCTTTAGCCATAAAAAGGCTTCCTTCAAAGCTGTTTCTTTGGCTTGGAAAACCTGGGCTTGAATCATTTAATCTAAATTTTTTACATATTATAACTTGTTTGTTTATCTTCGTAAGCTATAAAAGTATCTTGCTATAAAAGCATCTAATCTTTGATCCATCTGTAAAAATTTCTATTCCCTTTCCTTCGAGAACGTTAATATGCCAAATGATTGGTGTGCATTGAACTGTGGGTTTGCTCAATTTTACGACTTCTAATTCCGTTATCGAACTTGGAATATTTAATTCATCTGCCTTGCAGTCACCTTGAAAGTGAAAGAGATGGAATAACTTTGTTATTTGATTTGTAGCATTTTTCATGCCATAACTTAATGATCTTTTGTTCTGAATTTGTAATTATTTTTTATCTCCTCGTACACTATGTACATGTTAAGTTTCGTGATAGTAGTTTGTTTCCTTCTGGATGCATTTACACTCATGTCCATAAATTAAGGATAATTCGGAGTCACATGGAAATCGAACTCTAAAATAAATATATCACCTGTAAAATCACTACACACATCTTCAAGAAACATATGCAAATTTCAGGAAATAACCAGATGACACCGTTGGTACATCACAATGACGAGAGTGTAAGAGAGTGATATATAAGGAATACAGGCAAAGAAGTAAAATTGTTCGCAGGCGCTCTATAACCATTTCAGTGCAATAACCGAATAGTTATGACACAAAGGATGCATTTGGATGATTTTTTATGTGGTAGATTTATTGGCCGTCTGGAATGTGGGCGTACCCAACTGGAAGTATCAGACAAACTTGGAATTGCCCAGAGTGTCATGTCCAGGCTTTGGAACGATTCCAGAATGATGGTAATGTGAGTAGACGTTACAGCACATGTCGCCCCAGAGTTACAACGCCGAATGAGGACTGGTATTTGCAGTTACTGCCAAAAGAAACAGGTAGAGCACAGCCTCAGACCTGTCTCATCAGCTCTCTTCAGCCACTGGTATGACAATTTCAAGGCAGACCATGTGCAGACGCTTAGGACAGATTGGTCTATATGCTCGTAGACCTGTCAGATGCGTTCCACTTACTGCAACTCACTGTCGACTGCGGTTAGCCTGGAGTAGAGAGCATGCATTGTGGACACCGCAACAGTGGGCTTGTGTGATATTTTCCAACGAGTCCAGGTTTAGCTTGCAGTCTGATTCTCGCTGGACTTTCATATGGAGAGCTCCAGGTGTCCGTTACCACCAAGAAAACATCATTGAACGACACCGTGATGGTGGTGCAGGAGTGCTCGTTTGGGGTGGATTTATTCTGGGTTCCAGAACTGACCTGCATGTTCAAATTGGAACCATGACAAGCGAAATCTATCGGGACATCATTCTGGACCAACATATACGTTTGTTTCGGGGCGCCATGGACGCACAATTTGTGTTTATGGATGACAACGCCCGTCCTCACCTTGCAAACGTCGTAAGTGAATGCCTTCAATCGGAGGATATCACCCATATGGACTGTCCAGTATTCTCACCGGACTTGAATCCAGTAGAGCACGTGTGGGACATGCTTGGCCGACGAGTTGCAGCCCGTCAACCTCCTACATGTTTACCAGAACTTCTGAGAGCATTGCTTTTTGAGTGGTGTAATATCCCCCAAGATCAGATCGATAATTTCATCAGCATGCCTAGGCGTTGTACGGACTGTATTGCATCGTCTGGGAGACATACAATGTATTAACAATCATATCAACCATGTAATATTGGGTTTTTCGTAAATAGTTTTTTTTTTTTTTTTTTTTTTTTTTTTTTTTTGTTTTTTGTAATTTGCTCCAGAGAGAAAAAAAAATCGCTAATTTTTTTTAATAATTATCAAACAGACAGTATATTTTTTTGCTCTTTTACCTTTTGTTTAATAAATAAGCTTTACAAATAAGTCAAATTTGTTTTGCTTCTAACTCTTCCTTTGCCTGATTTTGCATTATCTTTAATTTATGGACATGAGTGTATTTAAAAAATACTGTTGTTATCATGGCTTATTTGAGCACAAAATGTAAATTTTCAGTATTGCTATGTGTCCTTAATTTTTAGTTTTGTGTTGTGTCATGTTCATTTTGTGATTCTTTTTGCAGTGGAGTTAGCAATGATTATGGATCGTTTATATGGGGGAGTGTGTTATGCTGGTATTGATACTGACCCAGAGTTAAAATATCCTAAAGGGGCAGGACGAGTTGCATTTTCTAATCAGCAAAGTTATATTGCAGCAATCAGTGCTCGTTTTGTGCAATTACAACATGGTGATATTGAGAAAAGAGTAAGTATAAGTAAATAAGTATTTTAACTTTCCCATTGTACTTTCTTTTTATAGTATGAGTGCACTAGAAGCTGAGTTGTGATGTTATTTATGAATTTAAAAATTTTTTGTTGATGTAAATGATATAAAAAAGTAAAGCAGTATAATACAGAATAAGAGCATGTTAAATTATAAGGTGGCTAATAAATCATCATTGATACTAAAAGATATGGATTTGAAATCTGGAAATGATATTTCAATCACTTGCAAAGTAAATTTTATGTATTATTATTATCATCATTATGATCATTAGTTTTTGTTAATCTGTTTTAAGATTTAAAAATATTACCCTCATCTTTTTATGGAACCTGGTTGGCTACAACCTTTTATTTTATTACAAAACAAGTTCACCCAGTTCCCATTTTTCTATTTATTTTCACTTAATTTGTTTTTAATGTTGATTATCATTTATATGTCTTAATTTGTTGGGAAATTTTTCTCTGGAATTTTTGGTTTTCTTATTTGTATGTTTTGCACTTTATACTACATTTTTTAGCTTCTGCTATTATATTGTGTTATGTCTCTTGGATTTATTTGTAATCTGCTTGTGGTTGTATTAAGTCATTTTATGGATTTTTTTCTTTTAATAATTTAGTAATCAATCTTGAGTTGAAGAGTGAGTCAAAAAAAGGAGGACATAATTCTGTATCTCCTATTGTATTTGTCCAGTTGGAAACTCATGTCTCAGATGGGAGCCATAGGATATATAAATGTATTTGTGCTTTAGCAAAAGTCAAACTTTCTCTGAAATGGTGTGCTTTTTCCCCCCTAGTTCGATTCTATGCCCAAATTATGGATAAGTGCTAAATTTTGTAAAAGTCATACAAGCTGTTTCAAAGATACTCGTGCTTAAAACTCAGCATTAATTTATAACCTAGTGCCAAAAAAATTTCATTTTATGGACTTCTAATTTATATTAATTGTTTTTTTAGTGAATCAACACATGCTAAAGTCTTTTTGAACTTTTGTGATTCTTTTTGCAGTTACTTGAGTTATTAATTTCATATTTTAAATATTAAATAGTACTGCAAATAATGCTAACATATTCAAATATGTTAGCATTATTTGCTAAAATATTTAAATATATGCTGTATATTTTTAAAATATTTAATATGTCAGAAAAATCTTTAGACAGCTTTCTAGGAAAGTTCCTTTAATATTTCATTTAATTACGAAAATAATTTATGATCGGCTGCCACATCAAAGATTCAGTTTCAATTTAGTATGTTATTAAAACATGTAAATATTTGTGAGAAGTAAATTTTAAACAAATCACAATTCATTTTTTTTAGTGTTATGTTTGAAATTTTGGTGAATTAATAATCAATAGTAACCTTTATTTAGATATTATTTAAAATTATTCAAAATTATATATTATAAAAGCCAACAGTGAATAAAAGTATATTTCGCTGCAATGATCTCCCTAAGGTGACCATCTCTGCAAGGGACCGATATTTCTCAGAAAATAAAGAAATTATTTTGAAAACTGAAAATTTCAGATTAACAAATTTAAAAAGGATTAACTTTGTAAACATGACAGCCAAAAAATAGGTGATGTCGCAGTGCGATGAAGTTGCAATGTCTCAAAAAGACATTGTTTGATAACCTTCCCTTCCTTTTGTCTGATGAGGTTCACGATTAGTAACTATTACTCACAACCATATGGTTTCATAAATTCCTTTTCATTTTTTCTTAACAATGGAATGTTATCTCGGGGAAAAAAACTTTCAATGTGTTTCTCATAACTCTCTTGCTCTCTAGAATTCTGTACTAATACTTCCATCTGAAAGATGCAGTGCAGTGCAATACAATGAAAATATAATCAATGAAAAGTTTTTTAAAGAAAAGGAGAATATATTTAAAAGAAGAGTCACATAAAAAAGAGAAAAAAAAATAAGCCTATTATCACAAAAATGCAAGAATGAGAAATGAATAAGTATATACTTTGAATGGGGAAATACTATTTGTTACATTAAAAAGGGGGAAGATAATCAATAATTTTTTTTCAAAAAAACTAAATGAGAATGTTAAAAAGAATACTCAAATAAAAAAAAGATGCTGATCTAACAAAAATGCAAGGGCATTTGGTTGATATGTATATGTATAAAGCTAAAATTATTATTCAATTTTTATTAAAAAAAATTAATGTAAGAAACAAATTCTCAAACATTAGTTTCATGTGTAAATTAAAATTGTTAGTCAGTGCATGTAATTCTGAACTATATTCAGTTCGGAAAAGAAAAGACTAAAGCTGATTAGAAAAGTATGTATGGATTTTAGTTGTACCTGGGTGTTTTAGGTGTACCTACCTAATAAATATTTCCAACCAAGGCCTATTTTCTTTATAAGGCAGTATTTGCAAAAGTTAATATTTTTTCATTCGACAGTTACTTCAGCTATGAAATAGCAGCTTCATGTTTTTACCTAGTTTAGGGATAAAAGTCAACAACAAAAAAAAAATTCCCTTTTTATCTTATCTGAAAATTAACAGAAGCGAAGGCGACTTTGTAAGGAAAAGGTTTTAAAAATCTGATAGTTCCCTGTCTAATCCCAGCTAAAAGGGAGGTAGAAGTGCATTCCTATTTCCTATCTTTTAAATGAAACTTTTTCAAGCTTTACCACCTTTTACGGGTTAACCATTATAAATATATAAGCTTTTTAAATTTTTAAAATATAATTAAATCATACAAATACTTCTGTTCTTGTCATAAGCAAAAATAATGGCTAATGTTGTCAATTCATAGAGTTAAAGTTTTAACTATTGCTGAATAAAATTGAAATTTAACTCAAAAAATTTTTAATTTTAAAAGTATATGTGTTTGTTTCTGCATTCTTTTCCTGAGGGTAGAGTAGTATGAACGAAAGACATTAAAAATGTTAAAAAAATCTAAATCAAAATTTGAACAAAAGTTAAAGTATGTAGAAAGGGCTTTGAAATATATATGTTGCCACAAAAATTTTTGTTATCTGTACATTTAATTTCTGATGACATACAATAAATACAAAGGACTTACAATTAGAAATTTTGCAATCAATAAATATTTTTGCATAAGTATTAGAAATAATTGTTTAAATTATGAAAATATATTTCAGCTTTAATTTTTATGGCATGAAAATATTCGAGTTGCAGAATGTGTTACGAAATATAAGTAAATTAATTTTTAAAATGGTTAACTTTCTGGTGCTGATGAGCAACACACTTTTATAATACCAAAGATCAGGGTCAACTCTAGGGTTTTGGGGGATCTGCCTGTGAATTCAAAAAAGGAATTCTCAAGCTATGTGTAGTTTTTGCTTTTTCTGTGGTGCAGATTTTATGGGAATGTACAAGCAATATAGTCATATTTAAAACAAACCTATTAGTTAAATTTTTGTTGATTTTTTTTTCATCCATTTAATCACATAGAGATGTTTTATGTGCTCATTCATGCAATATTTACAACTGCAACTTTGAACTGAAGAGAGAGTCTGTCTGTCTCTGAGTTTTGAACCATGTGTTGGACTGTGCATTGGAGTTTGGAGTGGCATGTGTTTGGAGTTGTGTCACTAAAACTCTTGCATTATTTAATTTAGTTTTTGCTGATTTATTTTACTGTATCAGGATCATTATCAGAATTGGTTTAATCACTAAAATAATTTCTCTCCAAGCATGGACATTGGATATCTTCATGGCATAGATAATCTGGACAGATGTTTATATTAAGGACATTAAAAAAGGGAGATTAACAAATAAGTTTACTGCTTTTAAAAATACTGCAAAATTTAAAAATTGCTTGTGCTAGCATTAAACTTTAAGTGAACTATAAAAGAAAGTTGTAATCTGTAAACATTGAACATCTCATTTTCGCACCAAAATTGCAATGCAGTTTTTATTAAACACATTGTATTTTGGATGTTAAAGGTAGCATTCTCAAAGTAGCCATTCTGCAAAGTAAAATATAAAAGAAAGATGAGTAGAGTTTACGAATGTTTCATTTCTCATATCACAAATTATGCAATGTCTGCTAATGAAACTAAGCATACCAATTTGCTTCTTCTCTCAGTATCACTTTTAATGAGTATAAAAATTTATAGTAATTATTTTCCAGACTGAATATTGTTTCTTTATTCAATTTTTTAAATGAAACGTTCAGCCATTTTTATTCAGTCTCTGCTTCCCACAAACACACATACGCATGTCTAATTACTGCAGTTTACAAAATAGTAAACATAGAATATTTTCATTTATCTTTTGAAACAAAAATATTGCCATTATAAAATAATTAATTTCTCATTTGTTGTATGATTCTTTATCTCTTGTATATTGATGTATTGGAAGCATGTATATTTTGTTGAATGGAATTAATGCAAATACAGCACAAAGTCCGAGATCCAGACTCGTCGGGACTTCAGCGATTCCGGATTTGTTATTTTTCCGAATATTAGATCATCTCTCTAATTGTAGTAAGGATGGCATGTAGAAATTATAAAATTAAAATATAAAATCTTGATTTATGAAATAATGAAGCATTTATGATCTAAAAAGTATCAAAATTTACAAAAAAAAAAAAAAAAAAAAAAAGGCTTATGTTTATTTTCTAACTTTATTAAACATTTCTTTGAATGTAAACTTTTTAAGTTCCTTTGTTATTTTGTGCTAATACTTTCTCTTTAATTCTATAGACAGACATAATTTCATGTTCAGTTACAAAGTTCCACTGTTCAATTCCTGTAGTTGGCTGTGTCAAGAATTTGAAATAACTTGTCAATAGAAATTTTTTTGTTTTCAGTAACCTCTCCATCACTTTCTTCACTATCAGTAGCGGTATTTTCTGGATCTAGAACCATACTACAGATTTCGCCATCCGTTAATTCATTCATGATTGCAGCATTGTCATCGCAATGAAAAACTTCTGTTATATAATCTTCATTTATTACTGCTTCTCCATATTTCTTTACAAACTCCATTAATTTGAAAATTTCACTTGTGGTTTGCAATATCCGAAAGCACTCAAATTCGCAGCTATCATCTTCAATATCCTCACTATGAGATATCTCACTATGAGGTATCTGGCCATAAATTATGCCAAGCGTTTTTTAAAGTATCTGGGAGGAATATCTTACGATGCTCCACACAGCAGATTTTATGCTAAAATATTTCAAAATTTCTTGAATAGTCTTGCCATTATTCAAGAAATTTAACATTGATTTTAAAATTGCTACTTTATATTTGCATTTCAGATCTCGCACTATTCCGATATATATAAACGTAATAGCAAAATAAAAGGTCTCCGTACTCTTAGTTATTCAATTACGAATATAAAAAAACTGTTTAGGCATCAATGCATGAGTCATTACTCAAGTTGTCGTGTTGATAAACATACGATGATGAAAGCAAAATATAATAAAAAATTATTCGTCAGGTAGAAGAAGTTGTAAAATCAACAATGTTTCCGTGTAGCATGTTTCGGTTGCAGATGTATGTATGCCAAGCAGATACGCAACTATGAAGCCAAATTATTGATCACACAAATTTATGCTAAAATGATTATTTCTTCAGTTATGAGTAGTGCTGAAGGGAAATTAAGAATCACCATTCTCCGCATATTTTCTTATGAGGGGATAAAAATGCGCATGCGTAAAGCATTAAAAAATTTCCTAAAAAAGGTTTTGTTGGGGGCTTTTAAGGTACTCCATTAATTTGAAAATGGCTGGCTTTCGGTTGCTTTTAAGGTCCGGATTTTAGATCATTCCAAATTTTGGACGTTCGGATCTCAGGTTTTGCACTGTATATATATTTTGAAAGATATCAGGATTTGAAATTAACTTTTTAATCCTGTTGTAACAAATATATGGTATAGCATTAATGTAATTTCTTTTAGGTTGAAGTCAAACCATACGTTTTAGACGACCAAATGTGTGATGAATGTCAGGGTTCTCGATGCGGAGGGAAATTCGCTCCTTTCTTTTGTGCTAATGTAACATGTTTACAGTATTACTGTGAGCACTGTTGGGCAACCATTCATTCCCGACCTGGTAGGGAGTTTCATAAACCTCTTGTAAAAGAGGGAGCTGACCGACCTAGAGCTGTACCATTTCGTTGGTGTTGAATAAGTTTTTTCTTTTTAATTCATATATATATGTATGTGTGGTTTAATGGGGACTTTTGTATTTTATGGCTTTTTGTTGTATACTTCGTAAGATATTTAAGTAAGTTAGGTTTTTTTTTTTTTTTCACAAATGTGTATACTTTTAATATGCATCTAGTCATTTTGTTTTTCAGTTTTATATCTATATATTATGTTTATCTATGTGGCTAACTATAATTAAGATATCTGTGTTTTTTATCTCAAATATTAATTTTTTATGAGAAAGTTTTTAATGTAGTTCTAATTATCTTTTTGAGATATGCGTATAATTATCTTCTTAGTTAATTTAAATAAAATATTTTGTTGGTGTTTTATAGATTGTTGTATGTTTATAAATAAAGTGAAAAACTAAGTATGTAAAAAAAATCACATCATTAAAAGAGCACTATGAAAGTTTGCAGAAAGAACACATATTCAAATTTGTGAATTGTATTGTTAAAATCCTTGTATAATTGGTTTTCAGAGTTACCTGTAAAATATTTTATAGAGTATAAATTTGGTAGGCTAAACGAATGAGCAAATCATGTAGTGCTCTAATAGTTGTTAATGGATATATGTTTGTGGGTCAGTGGAAGGTATAATTTTTTATATTCTGCTAAATGCAGAAAATCCAACCTTTGTGTTGGTCATTTGTTTCTTTCATATGTTTTTATAAACTATCAAAAACCTGTCATTTCCTATATACACATATATAATGAAACTGCATAAATTTTCATTCATAAAAATTACATATGGCCGACATAGACAGGTTTCATCCTGTACATAAATGTGGTTTTCATTAAATTCATGTATAGAATTCGTTGGTCTGAATATTGAGAAGAGTTTCTCTCATTAGTGACATATCCTTATTCTCCCAGAATATTTTAAAACAAAGTCCAAATGTATAAGGTATACTAGTTTAAGAATAGGTAAGCTGTATGCTAGAAAGCTGAGTTACTGCTTCATCCAGGTGATGTAGCCATATATTAAGATTTTATATCTTAATGGTGAAGAAAAGTAAAATATTCTGTTTCTTCATGTTCTGCTTATTGGGAACTAGAGTCAAACTTTAGTGAAGTTCAAAATTGTAACTTAACTCTATTGACTCATTATTTAATTTAGTGTATGTCATATGAATTTTTCAGTGCAGTTCTTAGTATCCTGAAAAGATAATTTAATAATTGCAAGATTTAAGCCAAAGGCAAAAAGTAGAGCATTTTAGTTAAAGGAATAATATGTAGATTCATTATAATTTTTCTGTAACTGTGTTTTTGCATTTTATTATATCTATGTGTGTGTATATATAGCATTAATACATATGTGCCAATAATACTAAAAATTTTTGTTCATGTCATTTTTATTTCAACGTTTTGATTCAGTTATTTATAAAGTAAAAGCAGATTTATATGTAAATTGTTCTTAAGCATACAGTGATACTTATTTTCAATTTGTTTTTTTTTTTATATATATATTATTAATATTTTCGTTTCATTCGAAATTATTGTAAAGTGTTCTATTCCAGAATTCCATGTAACTTTTGAATATTGTAACATATGAACATGCTTTAAAGATTGGAAATTGTTCCTAATGTAATGATATGAGATATTCTTGTATTGGTTGCTAAAATTATCTCATTCATTCTAGCTGCTTTAGAATAGTTACAAAAGCATTCAGTTACTATTTTAAATGTTTTTGTAGCTTTTAACTAAGTTTGATCTATTTTTATATAGTATTTTCTTATCTTTTGAAATTTCATGCATGTTTTTTGCAAAAATTCCTAACATATGAAATCAATATTTCATTGTAGTTGTGAAACTTAAATCTAGTGATAGAAAAATGCATATACAGGAATGCAATAAATATTTATGTCAAAGAAACTTTTATCTGCATACTTATTAAATATTTTGTATTTGTCATCTAGCTATAGTAATATTCCTAATACGTTACTGTATTGACAGATAAAATACGAGATGCAATTTTATGATTTCTATTATATTTATTAAGATCTAAATTATTTATAATTAAGAAGTTTACATGCTGTTTTTTGCTGTTGTAGATGGCGACAATATAATCCTATTTCTGAATATTTATTGCCTCTTGTGAATGATATTTCATATTGCTTGGCATCAGATCGAACTGTTAACTTAGCACATTCTTTACAAGTAGGATTAGGGACAATCAGAAGTAAAGATGTTTTCATGTTACTCTAGACAGTTGATTGTGGATTTGTATCTGCTCTTGTTCTTACACTCTTGACCTTAAATGGAAATATTTGTTAATTATTGTAACATTTTTGTAATAGTGCTTTTTTTAGATAATATTGCTGTAAGTTACTGCTAGAAAATTCATTTTTTATCAATTCACAAACTTTCTGCCTTAGTGTTTCAGCATGGAAGCTCTTGTATGAAATCAGAAATGATCTAGTATCTTTGTAGAAGAAAACTAATATTCATTGCTTTTAGCATTTGATTTTCTCAGTTAAAAATGTGTTTGTGTATGGTATTCAACTATTTGTTCGTTTTTTTTTTTTTTTTTTTTTTTTTAGGCAGTTTTCTTTTCTTCTTGAAATTTATACCAAAATGTATACTCATTCAGTACCACTTAATAAATAAAATTTGTATTCCTGATTAATTTTACAGAACTGTAATTTCTGAACTTCTAGAAATGTAGAATTATTATAAACTTTTTATTGTAGCTTTAAAAATAAAAACTAATAGCATATTTTCATATTAATATTTTCACATCATTTGTCTGAATTAGAAAAATTGTTTTGCAATTAAAATATATGCTGTATAGTTGTTTTTGATTAGGAAATTACCAAGTTCTGATTGCATTATTGCTGTTAAATTATGCTAGTACTTTTAAAGAGCATACTGTTCTCATAGGACCCTGAAAGGATTTATACTCTAATATCCTCCTGGCTGCATTTCTTAAGTCTTTCTCAAACAAATAAAAATTGCCTGTATATGAGCAAAAATATCTCCTAAAAAGGTGGTATATGCACCATTACATTCTCTAATTGCATTTGAATATGCATAAAAAAGTAAATGACATTTTTAGTCCTTTGTATATCTTGCACGAATTGATTATGTATTGACAATCTAGAATGACTGTTCAAAATGTAAGTTATTTTGCTTCTTTCTTAATAAATCTTGCCAGTTTTAGTACTACAGTATTTTTAAACACTCATGTAGTAGTAGGAAATATGTTGTCATTAAGCGATCTGAGGATTTATACACTAGTTTTTTTATAACTACTCGTCATGTAAATCCATCATTTTAAATCCTTTTGTGAACTTTATAACTTAGTGCCATGTCTCTAACTACTTTAAAGTACTTTGCTTTTTAAAATTACGTCTCTTTTTCTAGGGCAGTGACTAATGTGCATGATTTTTATAGGCACATTTTTATCATCCCCATTTTTTAATGCTTCTTCACTCCAAGATAAGAAAAAAATTGTCATCTGATAGTTCATGAAAGTGCTCTCTATCCTTAAATGAATAATGTACATATTTTGAAAGAATAAAATAATTTGTGGCCTGGGTGCAATTATATACTTACTTTCACTGTATACTGCAACAGGTTTAGCATTATTCATTATAATTATTGCTAATATGTAGTATTATAGGAAACAAATGTAAGACTGGATTTCTATTTTTATATCAGTATTAACCATTCGATACTTGCTAAAACTGAGAAGTAAAGTTATTTGTTGGAAATTTTTATATTTGTTTAATTTTCTTGTCCTTACTTTAAATTCTTATAATTTGTTTTGATATTTAATAGCTGCTGTATTATAAATTATTAGTTGTAATATTATATTCCTCATGATGTCGGCAGTAATTTGTGCATTATATTAAATTTATGCCTACTTTTTCTGAAATCCTTTGGGATTTATCTTTACCTCTAATGTAGTGTTGCTACAAACTGCTTAAGTTTAGAGTGCATATGAATATTCAAATTTTATGCATGTTTCATGCTAATATTTTTTAATATTGCAAATTATATGTAGTATATTATCAAGTTTAAAATGTGGAATTGTTTGGGGAGATGGTAGTTGGTTTTAAACATTGTGAAAGGGGAATATACTGATCATGTGACAAATATCATATTACACAATTTACAAATGAAAGACTATTCTCAGGAGAATGATAAACAAAACATTTCACTTTTGGCTGTTTTAAATATTGGATTAGAAGTATTAGTGCCTTTGTTAAACTGCATATATAAATATTTAAATTATATGCAGTTGAAAAGGATCTTTGTAAAATATTGATAATTTTGTAAAAAAAGTTACTAATACTTTCTGGGTATCAAATTTATCCGTGTAAATTTGAAGATTTACTGAAGCAAAGGTAATTGTGGATTACAATTAGAAACATATGCTATCTAGAAATTTTATGGTTTCCAGTATGAAAGAGAAAAATTAATAGATTAATAGTAGGAAAAATTAATATTGAAAAGAAATTAATAATTTCATTTTGTTTTATATTCTGCAATCATATAAACTATGAAATCTTTTCTCCATTATAAATTTACAGTTAATAATATAAAACTCATATGCACTTGTGCATACATTTTGGTTATAAAGATTAAAAGAAGAAAATACTGTGTAAAAATAATTGATATAAATAAATTTGCTTATCATGCCTTGTACCTCTATTTTTGTTTCATTTGAACTGATGTTAAGGACAAAGCAAATAGCATATTAATAGCAGTCAACAGAGTTATATGGATTTTCAGCTTCTGTTACTTCATTATAATTGATGCCATATGTGGAAAGCAATTAAATTTGTTGTCTTCTCCCAGTCTTTAAATACTATGCAATAGTGAGGCTTTTTGTATTATAATAGATATTAATATTTTTGATGTATACTGTTTTCTTTGTTAATTAATTTTGTAATGTGTAAAGTATATACATCGAATTTTTGTCTATTATATCTGGGCCTTTAATTGTTTACTGTAATGCGATAAAAAGGTACAAATTTGCAGTTAACTCTTTGCTTAATGAGTAAGTATCCTAATTTGAGTTCCACATATTTTTGTGTAAAATTTATGCATGTGAAGTGAATATAGTTATTTTAAATTGAATTACAGTTCAGTAGAGTTTATCAAAGTAAATTTTTTCATGTTTTGATCACATATAGTTTATGTTTACCTAGTCTAGTATATAAATAATTTAATGTTTGTTATACCTTTTACCTTTTCGTTCATTTTAAAATATTTTCTTCTTATGGGCTGAATTCATATTGATCATTAACTATAAATATCACTGCTCAACAGGATCCTGAGTTTTTCAAAACAAATAATTAATATAAACTTTATCCAGAAATTTGGAAGTCATCAATATTATGTTTGCTTTAAAACCAAGATCTGAAACTGCTGAGAGTTTTTTATTTGCTGATTAAAATGAATAATTAAAATTTATATGTGCAGTTTGATTTTTTTATAATTAAGGAAATTATCTTGCGAGTGGACTATTTAAAAACCTAGTATATGTAAAGTGCCCATAATTGTGGGGTAACTTGCTTTTATCTGGGTAGTTGAATGAAGTGCTTCCCTAAAAAGTTCTGATGTAATTATAGTCATTCTGATTTTTTTTAACATTTATTATGAAATTTTAGCAGAAATATTTTATTTTCTTTACAATGGTATTATAAGGTATTTTCTCCCTTTTTTATGCATGCCATTGTGGTGTAATTGGAAGCATACTCAAGACATTCTCAAAAGGTCCAGAGTTTGAGTCCCAGCAAGAGCACTGTACATTTTTCATTTCTCTTGCTTCAGAAAGAAATGTAATGACTCTACAAGTGGTATCTGAACTAAAAGGTGGTCGATGATAGTTCGTCACCACCAGGATTTGGTGATTGAGTCCCCTAATCCCATTGCCCCTTAAAACGGGGGAGTATATAATGTATTTTCTCCCGCGTTTTCGCACGCCTTCGTAATGAAATTGGAAGCATATTTAACGCATATTCAAGAGGTCAATGGTTTGAGACCTGGCGAGGGCTATTGCACATTTTTCACCTCTCCTGCTTCAAAAAAACCTAATGAATGTACAGTATATTAGGATTTTATATAATACGATCAGTTATTGATAAAAATTAAGGAATTTTCCTTTATTTTTATTAATTGCATTCCATATTTTTATGTGCTAGTCATATGATACAATATTTAAAATTTAACCCATGCGAAATTTATGGATGGGCAAAACTGCTATTTTATGTGATCAGATCAGAATCATTTGCTCACTAAACTGTATTGGTTTTTATGACTTGCCATTCATTAACCATAACCTTGAAAAAAATTGGAAATGACGACTAAATGAATAATGGTTAGGGAGGATGAATCGAACAGCAGAAAGAATTGAATGAGCTGTGGATCAGAATTGGTTAGCAAAGGTGGAGTGAAAAGAATTGAACAAGCAGTGGGATGAGAAGAATAAACTTAATCAAATGCTAACTCCCTGGATTTATTTCTTTCAACAGTAATTTTGTAATTCCCTAAAACCTCCTATCTATATATAGAACTGATGATAAATTTCTAGAATAAAAAAAATGTACAAAAAGTTTGAAAATGATAAAAATTAAACAAATGAGAATAAGCATTCTTTCTCCTAAAATCGGAAACAAACTTTCATGGCATGCTTCTAACAGGAAACTCTTAGTGGATAAATTCTAAAAGAACTATTGCTTTTTTTTTTTTTTCTTTTTTATTATTATTATTATTATTATTATTATTATTATTATTATTATTTTTGGTGATTTAGTTAGTGAACGGATAACACATTACTTATGAAAATATCACATTCACCAGAATAGTGCTTTACCAAGTTTGAACAGGATACAGCAGATATGTCTGTATGTTGCTTAAGAAAGCCAGTTTCTATTGCTGTAAGCTAAGATATATGTTATACCTATAGTTCTTCTGAGCTTCTAGTATATAGTAAATTTAGGATCAAAACCAACTAAAGATAATAGTTGCTATTGTAATTTTTGGCAGAGGGTGGTAGTATGCTTATAAATTATATCTAAATATTTAAAATAACTTGAAAATCATATTTTGAAGAATTTTTAAGTAAAAGAAATCACTAAAAATTTCAGAAGCTTTAAGAAACAGTACTTTTAAAATTTTAAATCATCTTTATATTACTTTTAGGACCAGTATCATAGTAATAAACACAAATATTGAAATATATTTCTTCTTTTCCTTTCCAAATCTTTATAACTGTTAATCTATTGACCACCTAATGTCTTACATTGACCCAAGTAAAATTTACTCATTTGAGAAATATGTATTTTGAAAATCTTAGAATTTGTCACTTAGTGTCAAATATTTGCATTTCAAGCATTGCAGTTAGCTATATAATGTCGTATCAACTTTTGATCTAAAACCTTTAAAATAGTCTGACCTTAAGAGCTGTAGCTAAATGCCAAAGTTCTTTCTCCCCTTGTTTTAATGGGATTGGTCTTCAGGCACATATACACCCTGACAATCCTATGTTTATGCAAAATGAAGAAACAAATTCCTGTTGTGTGATATGCAGTCAATTTACTGCATTGATTACATATCAGCCAGCTGTTTTTTGTTAATGTTTTCTTTTTGAATTCCTTGTGGTAACATTTTACTTTCATCAGAAAGTAAAGTGAGAGCAGTGCTAATAATAGTTTTGAAAGCTCTCGAGCTTATGCTTAAATTAATGGATATTGCTGATATCTTTTGAACTGTAATCATTTCATATGCATATTTTTTCATTATTTGTTTATTTATTTAGTCACTTATGTTAATTTGAAATGATGAATTCAAACGAGCAAAAACAGAGCATGTAAACTATTGAAATGAAACTTCGATTTTGATAATGAAAGATAATTTTTGTTTTGATGATGAAGGATCAGTTAACACATTCACTGCCAAACCTGGTATGGTGCATGCAGTCACGCATGCCAAGATCCTGTCTTCACTTTTGTGCTTTTGAATTATTTTCTTTTGTTTTATTGTTTTAATAACTAATAACCTTTGGCAGTAAATAAATTGACATAGTTACAGTTCATCATAGTCAAATTTCAGCATAATATAATAAAGATCTCTTTTATTTGATTCAGAAGTCAAACAACAAAAATCAGCATTAATTCACAAAATTTTCACAGGACTAGTTTCGATGGTTTTACCGAACCATCATCTTCAGCTGCAAAACCGCAAATGAACAAGATAGGAAATAATGTTTAGATAAGATAAGAAAGCCTGGACAAGAATAAGCAAGTGGCGCCATCTGTTGGCGAAACCAGAACTAAAACATAATTTCTCTAAAAGCCGAAGGCAAATTTGGATTGGAATTAGGATCGTTAAACTAGAACAGAAAGATTTTTATGAATGTGAAATGCCTCTAGAAAATCCAGTTCTCCAATGGAAGATGTTTTTTGAATAATTTTGGCAGCAGAAAAATTAAAAGTGTGATTTTCGGACCAACAATGTTGAGCAACAGAAGACTTCTGTGTTCCTTTTTTCTAACATATGCCTCATGTTCTTTGACGCGAAATTTTAAGGCTCTCTTAGTTGGCCAATGTAAATTAAACCGCACTGGCAAGGAATCCTATAAATACCCCAGGAATTCATATCCGGAATGGGGTCCTTGAGTATAGAATTTGGAATTTTATTGATGGAGAGAAAACAACCCGAAAGTTAAATTTCTGCAAAATATGTGCAACTTTATAGCTAATTGATGGAAAGAAGGGAATGACAAACAGAATTTTTATAATCTCCTAAAATAAGAGTGTGGCTTTTAGTGTGTTGAGATGAGAATTTTTTAACTGCTTGATTAATAATGTTGGGTGAAAAGCCCCTGTCAATAGCTATTGCTTTTAAATAATTTAGTTCTTCATCAAGGGATAGTTTGGAGGAGCAAACTTGAAGAGCACGGAAAACATAGGAATAAAATGAAGCTAACTTTTGTTTAGTCGGATGACATGATTTAAAGGGTGGTGGAAGGCAAACCGATGAAGGTTATGGTAAACGTAGTACTGAAGTTGGATGTGTTACGTGTGACCAGAATGTCGAGAAACGGAAGAGAATTGCAAGTCTCAAGTTCAAAAGTGAACTGAATAGCAGGATCAATAGAATTCATTGTTGAAAGAACTCCATTTAAATCATCTTATTACTTCAAACAGGGTAAAAGTTATCGTCTACGTAGCGGAACCATGCCGGGAAGTTTAAAGTTTCAAACAATTTTGATTCATAATAATGCATGTAGATATCAGCCAGGATGGGACTGAGGGGGCTTCCCATGGCTAATCCCTCAGTTTGCTTGTAATATTATTTTGGAAAACAAAATGTGTTTGTTTCAAACAGAGTTGAGTGAGAGGAAAAATTAGATCATCAATTTCGATGCAAGAGAAATGAAATTCGCGAAGTCTGGTTTCTAGACATCTTAATGCACCCTCCACTGGGACATTGGTGAATAATGATTTTACATCAAAAGAAACCATGAGTAAATTACGAGGAGAAATGTTTTTAACCTTTTTTACAAACTCTATTGAATTTTTTTTATTGTGTAAATGTATGTCTAATAGAGTGGAAAATCTAGAAACTAAATATTTAGATAATGGATACGAGGCAGTACCTAAATTGATACAATAGGGCGGAAAGGAATACCACTTTTATGAATTTTGGGAAGAGCATATAATCTGGCACAATTCGCAACAGATGGGATAAGCGAATGTTTTAAGTTGCTTGAAATGATTGCGAAGATTTGATCGCAGTTTTTATTTTGGATAAGTCCGAAAGTGAACTTATCCGAAATAAAAACTGCGATCAAATCTTCGCAAATCATTTCAAGCAACTTAAAACATTCGCTTATCCCATCTGTTGCGAATTGTGCCAGATTATATGCTCTTCCCAAAATTCATAAAAGTGGTATTCCTTTCCGCCCTATTGTATCAAATTTAGGTACTGCCTCGTATCCATTAGCTAAATATTTAGTTTCTAGATTTTCCACTCTATTAGACAATAACATTTACACCATAAAAAATTCAATAGAGTTTGTAAAAAAGGATAAAAACATTTCTCCTCGTAATTTACTCATGGTTTCTTTTGATGTAAAATCATTATTCACCAATGTCCCAGTGGAGGGTGCATTAAGATGTCTAGAAACCAGACTTCGCGAATTTCATTTCTCTTGCATCGAAATTGATGAGCTAATTTCTCTCACTCAAACTCTGTTTGAAACAAACACATTTTGTTTTCCAAAATAAATATTACAAGCAAACTGAGGAATTAGCCATGGGAAGCCCCCTCAGTCCCATCCTGGCTGATATCTACATGCATTATTATGAATCAAAATTGTTTGAAACTTTAAACTTCCCGGCATGGTTCCGCTACGTAGACGATACTTTTACCCTGTTTGAAGGTAAATAAAGATGATTTAAATGGAGTTCTTTCAACAATGAATTCTATTGATCCTGCTATTCAGTTCACTTTTGAACTTGAGACTTGCAATTCTCTTCCGTTTCTCGACATTCTGGTCACACGTAAACATCCAACTTCAGTACTACAGTTTACCATAAACCTTCATCGGTTTGCCTTCCACCACACTTTAAATCATGTCATCCGACTAAACAAAAGTTAGCTTCATTTTATTCCTATGTTTTCCGTGCTCTTCAAGTTTGCTCCTCCAAACTATCCCTTGATGAAGAACTAAATTATTTAAAAGCAACAATAGCTATTGACAGGGGCTTTTCACCCAACATTATTAATCAAGCAGTTTAAAAAATTCTCATCTCAACACACTAAAAGCCACACTCTTATTTTAGGAGATTATAAAAATTCTGTTGTCATTCCCTTCTTTCCATCAATTAGCTATAAAGTTGCACATATTTTGCAGAAATTTAACTTTCGGGTTGTTTACTCTCCCATCAATAAAATTCCAAATTCTATACTCAAGGACCCCATTCCGGATATGAATTCCTGGGGGTATTTATAGGATTCCTTGCCAGTGCGGTTTAATTTACATTGGCCAAACTAAGAGAGCCTTAAAATTTCGCGTCAAAGAACATGAGGCATATGTTAGAAAAAAGGAAACACAGAAGTCTTCTGTTGCTCAACATTGTTGGTCCGAAAATCCACACTTTTAATTTTTCTGCTGCCAAAATTATTCAAAAAAACATCTTCCATTGGAGAACTGGATTTTCTAGAGGCATTTCACATTCATAAAAATCTTTCTGTTCTAGTTAACGATCCTAATTCCAATCCAAATTTGCCTTCGGCTTTTAGAGAAATTATGTTTTAGTTCTGGTTTCGCCAACAGATGGCGCCACTTGCTTATTCTTGTCCAGGCTTCTCTATCTTATCTAAAACATTATTTCCTATCTTGTTCATTTGCGGTTTTTGCAGCTGAAGATGATGGTTCGGTAAAACCATCGAAACTAGTCCTGTGAAAATTTTGTGAATTAATGCTGATTTTTGTTGTTTGACTTCTGAATCAGTATTTATTCGGCGTGTTATTGTCTCTTTTATTTGTTGTGATCTTCAAAATATGTCATCAACAGATATATTTTTCATCCTAAGAATTAAGTTATTGCATCTGCATTTTAATAAATAAATGGGTCCGTTTCAGCATGCCAAATGTATTATTTAGCTCCCCTTCATCAAATACCTAAACAGTAACACGATCAACTACGACTATTCCTATAGCTGGCAAATAAACTCAGTTTGTCAACTATGAGTATTTTCGTAATTGGCAGCGAATATGTTAATATCATCTACTAAACTGAATGTTGCTTAAAACAAAAGCTGAAATCATAAAACAATGTGAAAACTCTTAATATTTGTTTAAGTAAGTAAAAATTGATATGTAACTCTTTAAAATCTCATTCATAATTTATAAATGTTACTTTTCATGCTTTTACTGATTAAAAAACTATTCATTTATTTCACCTGAGGTAGAAACCAGTTTATCGACAGACCTGTGTATGTGTGTGTATATAAATATAGAGAGGAAACGAGATGGATATTAAAAAAGTAAACCTTGAACTGAGGATGTATCTTAATTCGGCATTAAACGTGACATTTATTACAAAAAGCAAAAAGTTTTGGTTGTATTTGGTTATTGCTTATCTCTTTTGCATTTGAAATATCCTCAGCATTTTTATTTTTTAAGTACAGTTCTGCTTTGTTTTAAAGTTTATAATGCTATTTTACCGTAGCTTCATAAACATAAGTGAATTCATTAAACGCAGTCTTGTCACTTCAAATGCTATCAAATATTTTTTGGCACTAAAGCTTTATTTCCTTTAGTGGAGATGGCTTTCATTATTTTTTTCACTATAACTGCTTATGCCATCAAAATTGGATACTTCATCTTATTCCATTGGTGTGGTTTTATATGCTTCAAACCACACCAATGGAAATAAACATTAATTGGGGACACAGAAAAGGAGCCTTCCATTAACCTTAGCTAACACTCATGGGGTCCAGAACATCTGTTTGTTATCTCTAGTGTCCACTTAACGAGAATGTGATATCTGCATACCATTTCCTCTTACAAACAGAAGTCTTTAAAACTTCTTTAATAAGGATTTAATAACATGAGCAATGTTTAAAGATAATAATGTGTAATTAGATATTTCTGAATGAATAAATTCGAAAATGAATTTTAAAAATGAAATTAATATGCAATTTGAATGAAAAAGGGACTTATCCTCTGTTTTTAACACAGCAAATATAGCAAGGAAGATGCATACTGATACAGAAATCATTTAAAACATCTGTGAAACAGTTTTACATCTTTTCTCTATGTCCATTCTTTTTTATATCATTTTTTATCTTGATGGTTGTAATTGCATCAGAATCTAAGTGGTTCTTGTAAGTGCCTCAGTAAATCTCAGTACATATTTGCTACTTAGCACATGACTTGCATCATGAGCTTCCATTTGCGTTAAGTCCGCTACCATATTCCTTGTTTTAAAAGTCTTTGCTAGGATCTTTTTGGACGTCGCTCATCTTAAAGGAGATCATTCTTTTGTCCATTAGTGTAATATAGCTGCCAACTCTCCTGGTTTATCTGGGAGACTCCCAGTTAATTTTTAGTCTTTACTAATGCAAAGGTTTTTCAACAACAAATAAAATTTATTGAATTAATTGAACTGA